AAAATGTGACGCAGAAACACAAAGCGAACACAAGCAGTTGGAAACTGGTACTGACAGACTTGTTCGATGCAGGGTTACCAGCAACCTTTTATAACAACAACAATGCAGCATCTGTGAAATGCATTAAAACGAGGCAGAACAAAATACGGTCGGCCTGGATAGAACTTTCATTTTAATTTCACATTGATTCTTGCCAGTGAAAAAAGACATTTTCAGGAAAGAGCAAAAACATTTTTGCCTGAACGCCATGAATTTAATTGTGTAGAAGGCATTTTCATAGGCCTTATCTTTCTGGCAACTCCTAGTGTTCTTTGGAAAACCCCCAAGGATGCAGAAAAGCTTAAGTTTATTAAGTGTCCTAAGTGCTCAGCTACTTGGCATGGCAAGGGAATGTGCTATTCAAATATGCACATTGAAAATGTCACTCACATTATTTAGCCCTCAAAAGAGGATTTTAAATATGTGTCGTGCAGTAGGATAAGCACTCGGCCTCAAGGTTGGCTGTTCAAACTGACTAGCCGCTGCTTGGAAACCCTATGCAGGGTCACTATGAGTTGGAACTGACTATAAGGCACTTAACAACAACATGATTGATTATTATGGACAAAGATTTTTCTAAGAATTAGAGCATCCATAAAGTAGACCTTGGTTACGAATTGGACTGCTAATCTCACGGTCAGCAATTGGAAACTACCAGCTGTTTCGTGGGAGAAAGATGAGGCTTTCTGCTCCCATAAAGATTTACAGCCTCGGAAACCTTGTACAGGGTCACTTTGAGACAGAACCAACTCCACGGCACATAACAACAACAACAACAACAAAAGTAGACCTAGTAAGTCCTGTTTGAAACAGTGAACATTGTCAGGACACTTCTTGAGGCTTTGCATTATAAACAGGATTTGTTTGGGCATTACAGTGACCTGCCAATTAATAAGGATTTCTAGTTGAGGCTGTGCCAGATGACAGGTGGCTGCATTATTTCTACTTAAGTAGAATTCATCTCTTAAAAAACTGGCTTTGATCAGGAACACATGATGCTAGGACCATAAGAAAGGAAGAGCATGAGTGGGGCATGGGATCCTATTCAGGAAAGCGGTGACAGCAGAGACAGGGGCAGAGGTGGTGGCCTGGAGACACAGAGCAGCTGAGGACTCTAGGCCTATGGACTGAGAGAGGCTGTGTGCCTGCGGGCAGGAGGCTGGCTTGAAAAAAGTGTCCTTTGGGCACTTAAACAAATACGTATTTTCTGTTTTGTATGTGTACATAAAAAAAGGGGGGGAGTGTGGAGAGAGGTAAGTACTGTTGACTGATGGTACTTAAGAGGGGATTGTAGCCATTGCAATGAAACAAAATATGATTTATGGGGTGTAGAACTGATCATCTGCCCTGCAGACTTTCATGCAATTCACAATTAAAACTTGGAAAAAAAAAAACAACCACTGGCCTTGAGATCAGATAGACCAGTGTTTGAATCCTGACTCTCATTTCCCAGCTGTGAGGTCCTGGATGAATTACTTAGACTCCCAAATATTCCTCACAGCAATGCAGAGAACTCCCTTGCTGGAGTGCTAGCTAGACACACTCTATCGGTGACTTAAGTGCAGAGCTGCTCTCAGACTCACTGCCTCTTTGGTAAAGAAACGAAAGAACCACCCAGACAAAATAATACCACTAGGACAGGTCATTAGGAGGATCGACAAGCAGCTATCTGATATATCAGGAATAATAACTCCCGTAGAATTAGTTAAAGTATTTGGGAAGAAGAAGGCAAGATGGAGGAATAAAAGGAACTTAAAAAGAGGCCTTCATGATATAGAAGCTATCTGCCTCCCTCCTCCTGATTACTCTTGCAAATGAAAAATGGTCTGACAATTCAGGTTTATGAGCGCCCCCGTGTGGTGGATGAAATGAGCTCCATCTTCTAGCACTGGCTGCAGTTAAGAGCAGAAAAAGACTATTATTTAGTCACAAACAAAAAATAAACAGGATTTTAAATTAAAAATGGTATGTTCCAATTGCGTTTTTAATCTCTCCTAGGAAATTGTGAAGTATTCACATCAGAGTCCCTAAAAATTTTCTGAATGTTTTTTATAACTCCGGTTCAGTGTTTGTAATTGTTGTTATTAAGTGCCCTTGAGTCGATTCTGACCCATAACGACCCTGTATAGTGTTTCCAAGGTGCAGCTGGTGAGCTTCAACCACCGACCTTGCAGTTCAAATGAGTTTGCAATCTGATGCATTAGCCCACCGCGCCACACCTGGACTCCAGTGTTTTCAATAGTTACTACATAATTCGGCCAATTTGGGGAGAAGCTGTAAGATCCCCATAAAACCAAAATATATGAAATTTCAAGATATCTAGATGGTAAGTACTTAAAAAAATAAAGTGAGTTACTACTGTGGTGTATACTTCAGACTGTCTATGAGCATACCACCTCTGCTCCTTGGAAACCTTATATAGGGTCACTATGAGTAGGGGAATTGACTGGACAGCACCTCACAAGAGATTATTAACAGAAAAAAGTAAACTTAATTTATATATATGAGAGTAAGTCAAAAAGGGTCACTAGAGAAGCATAGACGCCTTTATGAAACAAAAAAATACCAAAATGTGAAGCTACTGTTTCTATACACTATCCTGCTTCTAAGTGGTGTTTCCATCTCTCTAACCCTTGGCCTGCTGTGGCGCTGTAGGATAATTCGCTGGACTGCAAGGTTGATTTGAACCACAGGACAACGGTTCAAACTCACCAGCCGCTCTTGGAAACCCCACACAGGGTCACTATGAGTTGGAACCGACTCCATGGCACTTAACAAGAACAAATCCTTCGCCAAAGTATTCTGCACTCTCCTATATATGCCATGTCAAAATTGTTGTTCTGGTATCCTTAAGGGACTCAAATTAGACTGCTTACACTAAGATCGGTGGTTCAAACCCACCAGCCACTCCATGGAAACCCTACACAGGGTCATTATGAATTGAAACTGACTTGGCAGCACTTAACAAGTTACTCAAATTAGGTTATTTTTAAATGTTCTTTAAGTTTGGAAAACAAAAAGAAGCCTGAAGGGGAAAGATCAAGGTTATAGGGTGGATGAGGGAAGACTGCCCAATAAAATTCTCACAGCACAGCCCAAGCTACCTTCAAAGAATGAGCAGGTGCTTTGTCATGATGGGGAAAAAAACTCCACGGAGCAACTTGCCTGGTTTGTTTTGTTTTTTTATTCTCATCAGTGCACTTTTCAATTTTCTTACAACTTCTTCATAATTAAAGCCCTGTGATTATCCAGTGTCCTTTGAGAAAATCTATTCTCTTTGGGATCCCCCAAACAGTCTTCATAACCTAAGTGAACTTCTCTGCCTTGAATTTAACTGGCCTAGCAGAGTGTCTCCAAAGCCACTGTTTTAACTGTATTTTTTTTTGAAGGCACCTAATGAGACCCAGACAAGTGCATTACTGAGAGAACTTGTCTGCAGCCGTCTGCTGATGGCAGAGACATGCTTAAACTCATTTTGTTTGAGATAAACCGGTGCATGTGTGAACTGGAAGCCCAGTAGCAATACTTTTTGACTTACCCTTGTATTTGTCTGATCCGTTTATCACATAAATTTATTAAATGAATGATTAATCTGCTACCTTAATGGAAGCTAGCAAATACACAGTTATTAATATTATACTATGAAACATTTAGGCACTTTTCTAGAACATGTGTTTTAGGTAAAACTGTACACCTCAATCCCATGGGCTGACTTTCCACACTTAGTTCTGTGCATGGAGAAAACACTCCTGCCCATCTGAAACGATGTGGGGGCTACATCTTAAGACTTATCAATTTGGGATCTAAGTAGATAAAACCTCTATCTAACAGACTGTGCAGTAACAAATGATACTGAGATGGAGGTAAAATCAACAAACTAAATGTATCAGAATATCTAATTGTGTTAAAAAAGAAGACACCAATTATTTATTTTATTTTCATTATTTTTCCATTTTTACTGTGAATTGGGTGAAGGTTTACAGACCCAATTGTTTATTGAAATAAAGCTTTTATTTGAAACCTGGTTGATTAATAACTGACTACCTGGAAAATCATGCAACTATTTGAAACCAACTTCCCTGATGATATAAAGGAGGGAAAAACAAAAACACATCTCTTATTTTTTTTTAACCTACAAACGTATTATACTCTTGTATTTCCCTAAGCAATAACCATTTCCTAAGATACCAAAATGTTGGGTCTTTAGCACTGATGCCTAGCAATTGAAGTCTGTTTTCAAACTAATATAGACTCAGGTTTAAAGGATTAACTTAGGTAACAAGTCACATGTACTTTTTCCTAAAGTGATTCAATTGTGAATTTCTAAAACAAGTTGTTAATACTTGACAATGTTGGTGGTGGGAGATTGAAATATTAGCACAATTTACTTCAAACAAGCACAACACACACCTGGAACAGTGTCTACGCTTCGAGCAAACAAGTCACATCCCAATAACCTATGTACACAGAAAACAAAACAAAAATGTATGGTTTCAATATTAAAAAAAAAAAAAAAAGTATGGTTTCTACTAGCGTTGGCTCCACCAAGAAGAGAATGTACTATTTCAAACTGTGGAAACTTCAGAAGCCAAATCACAGCTCAGGGTTAGAAAGGAAGTTTTCCTGTTGGAGAGTAGCTAGCCATTTTCATGACCGTCTAGACAGGGAGCAACGCAGCACTGCGCCAATACAGTACTGACAGAAAACATTAGTTTCCTGCCCTGTAGAGGTTACACCCAAACAAATGAATTCCTTCAGTAAGTCTTGCCTTGCCAGCATGGTCGCAGTAAGACACGTAACAGACACTAAGAGTAGAAATCAAGATTACAGGCAAAAGTTTGGAAACCAGGTCTTCCTCAAATGGTGGAAAGAATCTGGGTGGCCCAGATTCCTTTCCTTCTTGAAATATAACTGCTTTTCCTCCCACCCTAGAAAAGAGGTGGAAATGTTTACATGGATACATCTGATGTGTTGACACAGCTCTTAGCAATAAGTCCTTCAAAAGGGCGATCTTTTCCTTCAGATTCTGCAACAAAGTTCTGATTGTGACCGTAAGCTGAAAAGAAAAGAACACATCCTAAGTATTCTAGTTCAGAGGTATACAGTCTACCAGATACTATCAAGTACGCTGTGCTTTACTTCCTGTGAATCTACCAAGGTAGGGTTGGGAGGGATGTTTAGTCCCCAAATGACAAAAAACTCAGGGTTGTCAAAAATCTTAATGGTGACTCGACCCGGCCTAGCCCGGCCGCCCACCTAATACCTGTACCCATTCTACAACCTGACCAAGTGGTAAATCAACCCACCCAGGATTTCCTATGCTAACTGGACATTCACTACTCCCAGGCAGCCTTTTGTCAGTTTACCCTCACAAGAAGCTGGATTCTGTGCCCTGAGTTTCTACCCCCTTGTAGATAACAGGTGTACAACTATTTTTATAGCAGTAATTGTGTGCCCACGTCTTTGTTCACCCACAGTTTCGTCAACCACGCTTCAAATGATCAGACTTCAAGTCCCACAGCTTTCCTGGCTAATTATCGCTAAACACACTGGGATATTTATATCCCACTGATAGAACTTCATAATGGTGTGGTTTTCCTACCAGAGCAATGTGAGTCACATGCGATTTCTTTTCCGAGAGTGTGTGAATTTTCTCCAGTCATTCTACAAACTCTGAGGAAATCTGTTTGTGACTCGAAGTGCTACATTAAAGAATGACGCATGGGTAGGGAGAGGCTCTCAGGAATTTGGAAATATGACAAAAAATAGGATCCACTTGAATTAAATCACAATCAACTATAGATGAAACCAAAGACATGCGGCATTACTTTAAAAAGACAGAACGTCAAACGTTTAGCTGGCTATTTGACTAACAGTAGCAATCCTACAATTGTAGTTGAAGCAAGTGCCCTTGTCTGAGATCAGCAAGGTCACCTGTCAGAAAGAAACAGCAGACTGTTCACACCCCAAGCAACCCAATAAGGGGTCAGCAGACAAGAAAAGGCCAACCGCACTATCACAATACCTCTGGAGACCTCAGAAAGACTTCATTCAAGGAGTAAAGAGAAAACAAGCAAACATACACACACACACACAGTATGTATATATATTATGGTTGTTGTTCTTGTAAGTGCAGTTGAGTTGGTTCCAACTCATAGTGACCCTGTATAGGGTTTAAAGAGAAAGTCCTGGCACGGCGCTGTGGGTTAATGCACTAGACTGCAAAGTTGGTTTGAACAGCAAGGTCAGCAGTTCAAGCTCACCAGCTGCGCCTCAGAAACCCCATACAGGGTCGCTTGGAACTGACTCGATGGCACTTAACAACAAAGAGAGAGAGAAAGTCCTGCTGTGGTGCTGTAAGGTAAGCACTTGACTGCAAACCACAAGGTCAGAGGTTCAAACCCAGCAGCCACTCCTTGGAAACCCTATACAGAGTGCCTGAGTCCAAATGGATTGCATGACACTAACATATGGATATGTTCACATACATATACTATGTTACATGCATGCACACATACACATATACATATGTAAACATACATATGTATGAGTCCTGGTGTGGCACTGTCGGATAAACTCTCAACACTAGACTGCAAGGTCAGTCTGAACAGCAAGGTCAGCCAGTTCAAACTCACTAGCCACTCTTTGGAAACCCTATACGGGACCAACTCTACAGCATTTAACAACATATACATACATACATATGTACATACATACATATATATATATATATAGAGAGAGAGAGAGTGAGGCTTCTGGTGTGGCACTGTAGGATAAACACTGGACTGAGACCCACAAAGTCAGCAGTTCAAACTCATCAGCTGCTCCACAGAAACCTGTATAGCGTCACTATGAGTCGTAAACAACTCAACAGCACTTAACAACAACAGCTCTATATAAAGAGCCCTGGCAACACAGTGGATTACAAGCTGAGCTGCTAACAGCAAAGTCTGCAGTTCGAATCTACCTGTTGCTCTGTCAGAGAAAGGTAAGACTTTTTGTTCACACACACACATAAAATGGGAGTGCAGTGGTTCTGTAAGGATAAGCACTGGACTGATAACCCTAAGGTTGGTGGTTTGAGCCCACCGGTCACTCCATGGAAGAAAGATGAGGCTTTCTGTGCCCACAGAGATTCACAGCTTCAGAAAACCTATACAGGGTCACTATGTCAGAACTGATTTGACGGCACTTAATAACAGCAAACATATACATTTTGCTTGGAAACCCTATACAGGGTCACTCACTATGAGTCAGAAACGACTCAAAAGCACTTAACAACAACTATACAAATACACACACATATCTATATATACACAAACACACACACACACACCAGGCTTATTAGTCGACAGAGGAATTCAAATGATCAAAGAATATAAACACCAAGCCCATGCTCATTGCCATTAAGTCGATGAAGACCCCTATTGACTCTATAGGGACAGAACAGAACTGCTCTATAGGAGGTCAGAAACTGTAAATCGTTACAGGAATAAGTAGTCTCAGCTTTCACCCGTGGGTTTGAACCACCAACTTTGGGGTTAGCAACCCAATGCCAAGCCCACAGCGCCACCACAGGGCTCCTTAAAAGAGATTATGGCCATTAATAATAATGACTCAGATCCAAATTTATTAGCATACACATATGAGGGGGCTTCAAAGGCTCATGGAAAAATCCCATTACCTTTTAATTTCATTTTTCAAAGGACTTTTTGAAGCCCCACTTGTATATACATGATAGTTTGGTTTTTTTAAATATCGAGCTACAAAAGAAATGGAAAAGTATAAGAAGAGCAACATAGGTAAAAACTGTCCAAGAAGTAAGTAGTTGACTATCTTAATATTTTATAAGGAAATTATTAGAAATTATTTTCTGTTACCATAATTAAACAGAAGCTTTCAAAGCATAGGAAAAAAACTGGGAGCTTAACTCATTGTTTACACGAACTTGACAAAAAACATCAGCAGAAGCTGCAGAAAAAAGGAAACCATGTGCCAATGATGTATCTAAGGCTTATAAATGTGGGAGTGTTCTTAAAGATAATAGTAAAGCCAAGTCCAAGTTATATTTAAAAGGATACTATATCACAGCCAGGTAACCTAATAATGAAAACTAATAATGAAGCTCATACTTTTAGTAATTAAAAGCAGAATAAGCATGTGATTAATATAATATGAAGGAAACTGCTTTAAAATACATTTCTAATTAAAAACAAAGAGAAAAGAACCAAACACGACTTTCTCACCTGCAATATTACTGAACAGTGCTCTAGAAATGGTAACCAATGCAATAGGACAAGTTAGAGAAATAACTGAGAAACAGATGAAATAACCATGAAAGGCAGATTGATGAAAGTCTACTTAGGGAGTTTAAGAGGATCAACTGGAAGATTATCAGAAACAATAAAATATGTTGAGCATAGTGATCAATTATAAAATGAAAAAAAAATGAAGGATGTTGTTCCTAAAAGTAGATGAAAAATCCTTATTTGTTAACTGATAATAGTCGATTTGAGGAGTTGAAATGAATCAACTGAAAGATTGTAAGATACAAGAAGAGAGGTCAGTATGGTGATGAATTATAAAGTGAAAGGAATCAAGGGTGATTCTAAACTGAAGTAACTACTGGTAAGAATCTTTTTATCTTACTTTTAAAATATCAGTAATGCAAACAAAATCTAAAAAGTATTTGATATAGTGCTTGACATACAGTAACTATATAGTAGATAATACTGCTAAAGAGACAGGTGAAAGAAAACAGTATTGTAAAAATATAAATTTTTCCCAATTTCATCAAATAAAATATACTGCATGGCTGTCTATTCAACATGCCAACTGAAATTCTTTTATTGGGAAAAGGGAGGTAAATGAGGCACAGTACAATTTTTTTTTGTTTTGTTTTAAAACAAAACTTTGTTAAATTGCTCTAAAAGAAAGAAACATGAAGAAGACACGGAAAAGCCATGTTGGTGAGTAATAAAGGGGGCATTAAACAATTAGATAAAGAGCTCTGGTTGCGTAATGGTTCCAAGTCAGGCTATTAATCTCAAGGTCAGCAGTTCGAAACTACCAGCAGTCCTATAAAGATTTACAGCCTCAGAAATTCTATGAAGGGTCACTATGAGTTGGAACTAACTCCATGGCACACGACCACCAAACAATTATATATTAAATAATTACTTAAAAAAAAAAAGGTACAAGGGTGTGATGCTGGCAGGTTCGACAGCTTCATTAATAAAACAGAGCACAAGGTCCAGAAACAGCACCCTCCCACTGCTGCTGAATCAATTCTCATACAGTAAGCAGCACTATACAGGACAAAGCAGAACTATTCCTTAGGGTTTCCAAGATTGGAAAACTTTATGGAAGTAGACAAAAAAGTGCTTTGTAAAATTTCAGTGAAATATAGGACATTTCATACTGGGAAAAGGACCCCACCTTCCCCCCAACCAAAAGAAAAAAAGAAAAAAAACCATTGCCATCTAGTAGATTTGACTCATACTGACCCTGTATAGGGTTCTCGAGGAGCAGCTGGTGGGCTTGAACTGCTGACCTCCTGGCTCACAGTTCAGTGCTGATCCAACAGCGCCATTAGGTAAGCTACTTATATAATCTCTACGCAAGAAAGGCCTTTCTAAGCATGACTCCCCACTCCTACTCTCACAAAGCGAAATACTGGTAAGTTCGGGTAAATTTTAAAAACACAAACGGGTCAAATGCCATTGAGAAAATCAAAAGCCAAATTAGTAGAAAAAAATACTGTACCAAATAGACCACCTACTTATTTATTCAAAATGTCACATGGAAAGAATAAACTAGAAATTAATAATTAAAAAAGGTTACTTCTAAGGAATAGGTGAAGAAGAGGTAGAACAGACAGAGTGGGAATGAGACAAAACTTGGCTGTACCTATTTATATAATTTTAACTTTTGGACAATTTGTTTTTTATCTCAAAAAGGTTGCTAGTTGATAATAGTTGACTTGGGGAGTTGAAATGAATCAACTGAAAGATTGTTAGATACAAGAAGAGAGGTCAGTATGGTGATGAACTATAA